CATCCAAGTTGTTCCATGCTGTGTTCCATGTTGTGCTATTGCGAAAAGGTCAATTAAAACAGATGATAGGTGATAGAAGCGAAAGTAGAGTTGATTGTTGGTGAAAGGTAGTGTGAGGTGTTAAAAACGACAAAAGGCTGGCATGTGTTCAAAGAGTATGACACGAGCAAGCAATATTTGACAGCTGCAAAGGTAATGCAATAATTGAAATCTCTTGCCCCGACTTCGAAACCTACTGAACCCTCCATTGGTCAACGTTTTGGGCGCACGTACAGCACCTCATCTCTGAGCCAGCCAAGGAAGACGTTAGGGTCATCCTACACACATAAATGGGATACAAGTGCCTGCTGCAGATTTGGTGAAACAACCGGTATCAAAAAATCCAGCTTCTTTAAAAGGAACTTCTTTAAGCATTCGACGACAATTAGAGGCCAAGGGCATTGGTCTTAAGCCGTTTCTCATGAACTATTCAAGCTCACAAATAGCGCTGCAAAATGTGCCTTGGTTTTGCATGTCATTATGAAAAGGAAAATGCCCCGCTACTAATAATTGTCTTCAATCGTTGACAGAAGAGAAGACAATGTTTTTGTTGGAGAAGACAATGTTTTTGAATCCAATAAAAACGCAAGTGATATTTTGGCTCCTTGTTGTTCTCGTTCGGAGATATAGGGGCATTTTATTTGTCGCAAATTATATTATCTTTCATACTATATTTTTAAAATAATTTATTTATATCTAAGGTCGCTATCGTTGTTCATTATACGAATTTCCTCGCAATTAAAAAATGATAAAACGAGCGCGTTGAGTTCCTACACTTCTTTTATGGTTGATCTTGATCATTTAAGGGAGACGGACGCGAAGGATATGAGATGGATCATAAGTATGACGCTATACATGTTGGAGCAGCTGCAGAGACTATTCCCCCTGCAGTAAGTCTGAAATTTTCAGAATTCTGTAAAATAAAAGAGGTATTGGAAAAAAGGAATGAACCTAAGAGAAACGAGCAGAAAGTTTTAATGAAGATGAGGGCAATTTCCATCCAAAGTTTCCATTTCATAGCAGACTGAGACTATTTTCCAACCAAAAGGTCGTAATTCGTAATTATCACCGGAAATGATTCACATTTGATAACAAATTAATCATTCAAATAGCTTTGAACGATTTGGAATATATGCTCGTTTTTTCATTACATACAAAAACACCGCTCCTGAATTCAACTTTGAAAGCTTTTGACTCACAGATCTCAACTTTTTCTGTTATATAATAGAAACAAAAAAAGGAAATGAAGTGAGCTAGAAGAAGGAGTCCCTATAAAAAACAAGGCTTCAGTTTTGGAGTGGCGGAGTACCGTAAAAATTATCTTATTGGAAATCCTGAATCTACCATCTTCTATTTGTTGGAATGTTCTGGAAGTAGAAGGAAACTATTGTAATCTCCATCCACTTCTCGTAAACTCCGCCCGTGTTGCAATTGCTCCGCCCATGAGGAATAAATTATTCCTTGTTTCACCAGAGCACTCTGAACGCACTCTTCCAGGCCTAGAATGACTATAACCCCGACGAGTGCTGAAAACGGACGGAGAGGCTGACGCATAAAACTGATACAAATCTGCCTACAGTGGACGAACTCATTTGATTCTAACCTCTTTTTAAAACAATTTCATGATAGAAGGAAAGGAAATCTGACTACTACACATCGAACAGTCCTTAGAAAGGAGTGGCGTGCCTCCTCCCTGCAGTAATTATCGTTTTTTTTTTGTTGAAAGGGCACATCAATTAGTTCACACCCAATAGCAATGCATGGAATACGAGTCTTCTATTTTCTCCCTCGTTCCACGAAATAAATTAAATGAGCATTTTCACACAATGTTTTTGGGAAGAATATAATTGGACCCGACATTTTATTTCCCTCCTCTCAACCTACTACCCTCTGCGTGTCTTTTGCAGAGGTCACACCTTGTTTTCATTGGACCAGGCAACAGCATATTTTTCGATTTAAGTAGCTGTGTTACGCATTTTGAAATCTGGGATGGGCTGGTTCGAAGGTTATCTCATCACAGGATCAGGTCAAGCTTGTGAATCCCGATGAACTTTCATCCGCGCGTTTCGCCCAAGGACTCTAAAATTCACTGAAACTTCTATCTCGTTCTGTTAACTGCTATTTTTTCCCTGCCGCTGGAGTTCGCGATGAAGGTGTTCGGATAACGCGATGATCACGGCGCGAATGCTACACTCCATTAATCCTGTGTGGTTAACCACAAGGATAATGGAGTATAGCTTATAGTATAGTATAGTGGAGTATAGTAAAGCGCAGAAGTAGCTTAGTTCAACTATATTCTTGAGTCTTAAAATGTACAGGATTTTTGATTGTTTGTAAGCCTAGCATCTTCCTCAGGCATTAATTAGATCGAAAGTAATGCCTTAAAGGAATCTTCCACGGACCATGGACAGTGGGCGGACCGGAAGTGGTTTTGCGACGAAATGCTATGGTCAAATCAAATCTAAATAATAAAAAAGCAATTAGTTGGGCTTAATAAAAATGAGTGTGAATGATTGGAATTAAACAGTGAGTTCGATTACTGAGAGTATTTTGAAATGAAACATGTAGTAAGTACGAAATAACGCGATGAGTGATAAGACCCTCGGAATACTTTGACCCTCTAAATGCTTATTTTGGTCTCTTTGAGCCCTTGAGAAACATATTTCAAAATCTTGCACAGTTGTTTGCGTGCATAAATTTTCTGGCCACTTCTCTCGTTAACCAACCAACGTGACTAGTAATTCTAAATTAAATTACAATTAATTGCTCGTTACCCGAGCAGTTGGTCTTCCAGTAAATACAGGAAACGTGGGACAAATGTCGACAAAAACATGGTGACAAAGGCTGTTGATGGTAAAACTTGACAATAAATGGTATTCACTTATTTGAAGTTTGATATGGTAAATGTACAAGATTTGAAATAAAAGGAGAATAAATGAGTGAAGCTGAAGTATACAACCAATCAATCGAATCAATACAATCAAGTATTCCTTAGGCAGAATTTCCATTGCATGGAATTTGTAGTGATTCATAGAAAAAAAAAAATTCGTCGTTCTGAGGCATGTGATTGGAAAAATATAATATTGGAAGGGTACTTGGCAAACGCGATTGCCTTTCTACATATTTATAATAGTTTCAGTGGATTGTTGAGAAATAAGTCATTCTGAGCCCCATAGTTTGATGAACCGCTGTTTCCAATAGGACTAATTTTATTGAGAACACAAAGGTGAACCTGCGGTTGCTATTAAGGTGTAAATGGGGGGGTATACGCGCGCTGAAACGGCGAATTTTTCTCCCATGCGCTCCCAACTCACCTAGCCTACTACTCGTGAAAACTCCACTTTCACCACAAACTCACATGTGATTTCACGCGACTGAAGCGGATACGACCCCCCTCCTACAAACTCAACCAGGTACGACCCCCCCGTTGTTACTAGTAACAACGTAGGGTTGACCCTGGTGAGGACCTCAATGATATTACTGATGTCAGGGGTCAGAACACGGCAGAAGACGCTCTGGATAGAAGAACATGGCGACGGTTGACAAAGATAGCCGACCCTGCGACTGCGCGGTACTAACGCAAAGAAGAAGTGGTATTATCGCCGAGCTGAGGGAATGAGGAATACGTTGAATGACGATAGTAATGTAATAACTACATCCCATCTTCCTTCTTGCAATTCCATCATCAACACCATAACATTGCAACACATGTGCTAGCTGTTTATCCACATGTCCTACCTAAGGCAATCGTACTGCTCGATATGGCAAAATAAAACGAAAAGAGTTAAAGCGGTTCAGCGTTCTTCAACTTTTCGGCACGCGCCATGCACTTTTCTTCGATCAGGGGACACAGGTGCATTAGAATGGGCTTCGCCCGATGCAGTAACTTTCACAGTCAATATTTTGTTCTCTCAGACGAGGACTTTTCCTTGTGCCAATTAGAATGTTCCCGGAAGGAGAGAAGGCTCGGTGGAGCTAGACAGGATTCAATCCCTAAGTCCTGGGACTGATCATAGGACCACACATGCGCTTAAATAGCGCCACTTGCCAAAGCACCATTTCTATCCTGGCGATGGATCAACACTGAGTTATGGAACTGCGTACACAGATGGCAGGGTTCGCAGTCGCATTTTGGCTTCGGCGATTCCGCCGACTTAGTGTTCACGTGCCAATTCTGGAGATCCGACGATCAGACAATTCGGACGACTTGGCGATTGTACAATTAGGCCATCGCTCACCAATGCGAGCACATTTCTTTAGTGGAATCAACAGTCTTTGGGTCGCCAAATCTCTCGAAGCATGAACTATGAACGCAGCTTGACGTCAGAAACAATGAGGATCACCTACGCTAATGAATGCTAGATGCCTTGCAAGCTCCTCTTGTCTGTTTCCGTGATGCTCGGCGTTACCACCCATTGTTACGTATTAATGCAAAGCATACATGGACACGCAAAAGACCAATCATCCATCTGCTCAGTGGGCTGCATAGAACCCCGAAGCTGCATAATTAAACTGCAACAAACATACTCGACACGCGACCCACATATCTACAAATAAGAACCCGGTGGATGGGCCTAGAAAAAAAAACAGCAGAAAAAAACCTTCACGTGAAGAACCACTTATGAATGGCCTTTCATTGTGGAGGATCGATCCAAACTTTTTAGGTAACAAGAACTAGTTGTTCTACAGTGAGTAATTGAGGGGTCGTATAGTCGACCTCCCGGCCAGAGAAGGTCCATTACTATTATTCGTTTCCCCAAGCAATACTTTCGTAAGAGCAGACATTTTCCTAAGATATGTGACTATGTAAAAATAAACTTGTCGCAATTAAGAATTTAGTTCACTGGAATAAAACTGAGTTCAAAAGGATTTTACTCCTGATCTCGCTGGAGATACAACATAGGGCCCCAATTGTTCATTACTATCTGACAAAAGCACTCCAGGACAATGTTAGTGTGCAATTAATGGGCAGAAGTTGACATCCCCAAAAGTTGGATATATTGGAAAATGGCAAAGAAAGGCCAGATGATGGAGCGGAACTCGGGTTGAGCACTTTTGGACAAATATTATCACAACTAATACCTCCTACCTTTCGTTTTAGACCATTTTACACTCATTTGATTGCAACTTGTTGCATTAATGTAATCAAGGAATTGTAGAAGCGCACCTAAGCGTGCACAGAATAAATAAATAAATAAATAAATTAAAAAATAAAGTATAACTTGTTCACAGA